CACTCTTTGCGTGACAAACCTGCACCACGTGCTTCCATGCTCTCGATCATCTCATGATGGACGATGTCGCAAAAGAACACTTGTATTTCAGCAATTTCTATATGCACTAGATGACACTCTTGCTAACACTGGCACGCTCACCTTGCTTTGGCTTTAACAAGGATAATAATTTTAAGTTAAATGGCTAAAATTTGGCTAGGAAATGCCGAAAATCAGGGGCCAGCTTGCATAACCATGGTCAAGTTAGATAGCTGACGCTTAAATTTACAGATAAACGTCAATGTGCCTAAAGCGACCAAAATAACGAAATCGCCAGTACTCATACTAACCACCATGTGGATAGAATATTCCTTCATTCAAGATCCCACCTAAAGTAATTTTATTTTGTATTAATTGTACAAATAGCTACCTAGTCGCAATTGTTTTAGTGATGTATCATAAAACTGAGTTAATTAGGCCATTCCCATAGGAGCAAAATGGTTTAATTTTATGAAAGCGCAGGCAACCAGAAGATCCCACTATGAGCTTGCCTGACTACAGACAAGGAGCATCATAATAATCTTACCATAGTTCTCCTCAAGCTAGTCAGAAGTACGCATTTTGCATCAGCAACACCCTCTATAGCCAACGAATTACTCAAAAAGCAGGGGTAAGTTGCCGGTTTGTTCACCAAAATCAATGAAATGCAGAGGCTCCTTCATAAGCCTTGACGCGAGCTAAACTTCTGGCGTGGGTTCCAGAATTAACGCTGCCAACATTGTGTCAAACTATTGCTCGTCCACGTTTTGCATCCCCCTGAGGTCACCGCATGTCTTGCAAAAATGCAATGATTAGATAAATTTGCGAAACAATCAGTTGATCCTATCACTGGTAATATGTCCGCTATTTGACATGCGGCTACAGTGGTAATAAATGCACACATATTTTCACGGCTATGTGATTAAAGGCAGGATGCCTTCTAACAATTTGGCTTTTTGGAAAAAGGAAAGAGCGTGTTGGTTTGGTCTGGGCATCACTCAATGACGAACATATATAAGTGAAGCCAAAGGCTGCAGTAGATGCGGCTGAGATTTTGCCTATTCTATATATCGGCAGAGAGAACTGAAACTGCTATTATATCAGCCGACACGGTATGTGGTCAAGCTGTTGATAATTGGCTTTGGTCAAGATCATGAGTGTTGAGGTAACTAGCTCACACGCTCCGCACGATTC